CCACTGCCTTGTCTGCCTAGCCATTCACTAAGTGCCCTCTGCCAGCATTCAGGTCTGCAGCCAGCCAGGGATCACAACCACGGATTCGCAAAGGTTATGCTCAGGTTTCCCTGACCATACATACACTCATACTCTCCAGTTAAGAAATCGTAACCAAGACCTAGCTCAAATAGAAGGCAGTCTTTCTCATACACTACATCCCCCCCTCCTTCAAAGACCTTCTGAATATTTCTGTTGAGGATTGAGGCTTTAATTGGCTTCCTGACCTGTTTTAAAAGTTTAAGCTTAGCACAAGACCTTCTCCATCTTCTCTTCCTTCTTCAGAGTGCTTAGAGATCTAGCTACTGTGTGCATGGGGCGGGGGAGATAGGGACGGAAAGATGGTGGTGGTGGTGGTGGTGCTGGTGGTGATAATGATGATGAAGCAAGAGGAAGATGATCACATTAAAACTGCAATGTTCTAATTTCCTTAAGGCTGGACAAAATCAAATCCCTTTGGGCCAAAGAGAACTGAAGAGTGCTCTAGAAAGAAAGGCATTTCGAGACTTATCTAATCCAACCTCTTTTATCCCTACAGATAAGAAGACCCCCGAGGGCTTACACAAAGTCACAAAGCTAATCCGCACTATTTTTCTTTACTCCCCCATTCTGCCCCCTCCTTCTGGACTAATTCTACTTTCCAAACAATATGCACTATCCTCAACTATGCATTTCTACCATCAGTTCCGAAAGATGTTTCACTGCTATTGGTAACTGTATTTTTTGGTCTATTCTAAGGCAGAGGACTTTCAGACCCTGTTCTTAATGTTTTCTTGACATATTCAAGACAGAAGTTTTTTTCTAACTCCTGTTAGGTTAGTAAAAATGAAAGCAGTTAAATCAGTACTGGGGGTGGAGGGGCCAAAACAAAACCCTTTTCTTATATTCCAGTAGTTTTAATGATCAGACAACAACAGCTTCAAGATGACGTGACAGGAAAGCATGCATTTCTTAGTTTAGTTGATCCAGCATTCAGTAGGGCAACCAATTACTCTTGCAGCTGGGTATGGGCTCTCCAAACTTGCCCTTTAACATACCGCCTTGGTAAGTTTTGTGTGCTGTTATTTAATCAATATTTATCTTTGGGTAGATTTTATTTTATTTTTTATTTTTTAACATTTTATTAGGGGCTCATACAACTGTTATCCCAATCCATACACACATCAATTGTGTAAAGCGTATTTGTATCTTTGGGTAGATTTTAAATCCACTCTTCTTTTATGTTTCCCTCCTCTAAGCAATGTCGAGTAACTCACATTTGATATGCTAGTTTTGGGCAAACATTGTAACATAATTAATTATTAAAATATGCCTTCCCACCCCCACCAAAAAAAATCCCTCCAGATTCCTTATCCCTCAAGCCTAAATACTGGTCTGAGTAGCTTAAAAAAGAGGAGTAAAAGTAAAACTGAAATGGGCTTGGAGTCTTTCATGACAACCAGGTTCATTTCAAACAAACCAAAATATATGTCTATGGGTATACCATTTACTCTTCTCATGGACTATCAAGGAGCCCCAGTGGCACAGTGGATTATGTTCTGGGCTGCTAACCACACAGTTGGCAGTTCAAACCGAAGACCAGCCACTCATTGGGAGAAAGGCGGGGCTTTTTACTCCCATAAACAGTGACAGGCAACAGTGTGGCACTGATGAACCACAAAACTATCCTCTAGGTCTTTAAGATTTCCTCCCCTTGCTCTTATGGTCCCCACGTGATATACCTCATTGGTCAGGTCAGACTTGCGGACCTTCATTTGTTCATTTAGGATCGCTTGATACATGGTAGTCAAGATAGAAAACCCCTCTGAGGCACTGCCAGGAGTCAGGGTTCCCTGAGGGCACGGGAAGTGAGGGGGGAGAGGGCAGGGGGAGAGGAGATTTGATAGCATTGATGATTGTGTAGACCCACCTGATGGGATTGAACAACAGAACTGTATGGGAAAGGAAGGAATATATTAGCATGAGTAAGATATGTCAATAAAAATATTTTTCAAAGAAAAGACTGACAGTCAAGGAATCCCACAGGGGCAGTTCTACCCTGGACAGAGTTGCTTGGAGTAGGCCTCAACTCAATAGCAATGAGTTTTTTCATGGGCTACCAGCTGATTGTCAAATTGATGAATACATAAGAAAACAATTGTTCTCAACAGCTCACAAATGTTGCTAATTAGCCAGATTTTCAAGAGTGTATCGGACACGGAAAATGGCCATGTATGGAAGCCTAGAACTCTTGGATTTTCTTGTGCTTAACAAATATTGGAAGTCCTTGGTCTCTCTTCTCAGAGATTCTGAGTCACTATTTTGGGCACCCCAGGAAATGTTGATGTGCAAAGACCCTTAAGGGCCACATTTTGGAGGGAAAAAAAACAACAAAAATGGAAAACAGAATGTAAAAGTATGTCTTTGCTTTTTAAGCATTTTGGCTTTTCAATAGTTGAGATTTTATTGGGGTTGAAGTCCCAAGTCTAACTGTAGAATCCTAAAGAAACCACTTAACCCCTCTAAGGCCTAACTGCCTCCCCTGTTAACTGATTATGATAACAGCTCTTGAGGAAGCACTTTCAAGGTTTACATTAATGACAGGGCCAAAAACATGACAGAACCCTACACAAGCGAGGGAGGAAAATGAGGCTGTCTGCTCCCATAAAGAGTGACAGCCTTGGAAACCCACAGAGGCTGTTCTAGACTTTCCTACAGGGTAAGGTGACCAGATTGTAACATTGGTAAAGCAGGACACTATTGATAAAACTCATATCCTGGCGAAATAGCCACATGGCAGCCAAAAGCTGTATACCCTAGCTTGTCGTGCATTCTTTCCAAAAATCAGGACGTTTTAAAAATGCCGTGGGATGCGGGAAAAATTGTTAAAAATCGGGACTGTCCCACCAACAGTGGAACATCTGGCCACCTTACTATAGGGTCACCATTGACTCTATGGCAGCGAGTTACTTCAGTGGGATGGCAACATTAATGATGAAGATGAAGAAGTAATTTTATAAGGCTATACACGCAACGGCTTCTATGTCAGAAGGTGCTCAAAGGTCCTTCTTGAGTACCCTAATTTTAAGTGCTCTATAAGCAGCACACAAAATGACTTTTGTGGTTTAGAAACACATTATGCTTATAGGGCCTGCACAATAAAGGCAGCTGTTTCACAATCATTCGAAGGTGTTTGCTATTGGTAAACCGCTTTTTCTCCCCAATAAAAATCATGTAAAAAAACACCCAAGACCTTTTTCCTCAGCACTATCTTTTAAACCATTTCCACATAAGCTTAAATCTACAGCCCCAGGTGGTATACAGAAGAGAAACTGTAAAGTACGGCCAGTAAATGAAACATAGTGACTTCATGATAAGGCACAGAGAACTATGCACAAGGCCAACAGCCAGGGCTGGCATGGAACCCAACCGACAGCCCAGCCTTTCGCCTGTAATGAAAGCAGTCCAGGCGCAGCCGAGCTGAGACCTGAGAGCCACCAGATTTCAGCCCATAAACATCCCGTGCACAAGCAGATACGATGCATGGGGCATACGAAACTAACTCAGGAGGGGATTGTGTGGTTCGCAAAAACCAAAAAACAGAAGCATACCCCACAGGATTTAGGTGAAGATACGGTGTTCTCTGCCCTCAGCAGGGCAGTATCTCCACCAGAGACTCAGGGTTGGGGTGGGGGGCCCGGCTCAGCCAGGGGCTGAAGGTCCCAGCCCCTCTCAGTAGTAACGGGTAGAGCAGCTCCCCTTCTCCCGGCCCTGCGTGTCTTTGGCAGCATGCATAATCAACAACACCGGATGAAGAGCAAGAGCTAATCTCAAGGAGACCTCTCGAGTCACTTTCTGCACTTGCTAGGCTATGAGCTAAAGAGGAACTGAGGCTAAAGCTTCTGATAAGGCGGCGGGGGAGGGGGGCAACCGCAGAAAGAAGTCTTTACGCTCCTCATGGTGGTTCTGTAGTGAAGACCATCCAGTAGGTTGAGAGTCTGCAGAGGGTCCTGCTCTTGAGAGACTGTTAACTGATGGGCATCTGGGATCCGGTACTATCTGGCATGTATACATGCCAGTAGAAATAGAGATCCCATGCTAGCAGGTGCAGATGACTAGCGTGCACAAGAGACTCCTGACGCTCAAGTCTGGTCTCATCTACCGCACGTGTCAACACTTCACTGGCGGATGAGAGAGACTCTTCTTTAACCTTAATAAAGAGGGCACTGGGACCTTTTAAAGTCTGCTAGTTGATTCTATGGGTCTTTATTGAGCACCAGTTGTCTTCCAGGAGCAGGCTGGGCAACCAGTGGTGAGTGACCAGCCCAGTGCCTGCCGTCGAAGGGCCTGCCACCCCTCAGTTGAGAACAAGTAGAGCATCTAACTTGAAAAAGAAATGAGTGATTTTTCATTATGATGAGAACGAAACAAGTGGCTGCCCATACAACTCTTGCGAGATTTGGTGCAGTTTCACATGTTAAGAAACGTATGACCCTCTGGGACATGGGGGTCCAGTGAATGGTATGACCCTTTGCTGGGCATTCCTACACAGTAGGGATGCTGGGCCCCTCTAGGGTTTCCCGTATGGGCTCTAATAAATTTCTTCCCTTTTGCTTAAAAAAAAAGAAACATGAATTTTAGCTGAGTACTCACAGACAGTTGCCTAAATAGGAAAAAGGAAATTGTAAAGTTAGGGAAATATACCAGACAGTCTCCAAAAAATCAGAACTTTAACACAGAAAAATACGTAATTTAAAAAATAAAATAGAACCTGAATTGAAAAAAAGAATGATACTAATCTAAAGATAGTTCTTCCTTGGAATTCCAAATATCCATGACATCGCTCTTTGCAATTCCAGATCTAACAACAGAGACCTCCCCCACTCATTCCCAAACCAATGACAGTGGCGCATCAAGGACTCAAGCTCTTCAGCTCCTCAGTATTCCGAACAAGAATGTAGTAGCACTCAATTGTTGCTTACCTTGTAATCTCTGGATACATTTTCTGATGTCACTGAACCTGAAATCTGACTAGAAATTGTAGCAGCTATAAGCTGTTTACACCACTCTACATGAGATCCTGTGGGACTAAAAGAAATCATGTCAGTAAACAACTTAAAACCACATGGCTCTTAGTGATATATGGACATTTTATTTTTTAGAAGAATGAATTTTTATTAGACCAGCTGGTTACCTTTATATTGAATATAAGAACTGAACCACCAACCAACTGACAATGAAGGAGAAACGTTAGGTCCCGGGTTAATTTCAGAGAACTCCAGCAGTTGAAACAAGTTTCATGGAAGGTTCTGCATGTCAGTCTCTGGCATGTCATGGATATTTTTCCCCTCTGTTACAAGGGTATGGAATACATATTTCTAATGCAATCTACAGAAAATAAATTCTGATGTGAAACATGCCAAGTCTTAGCTCTATAAAAAGACTTGTGTTCTGGGATACTTATTTGATAGCAGGTTCTTGTCAATCATCTGATCAATTTCACATTGGTAATTTTCAATCTTTTAAAGCATCATGAACTTTCTAGTAAATCAAAGTGACTGTTTATGGAACCAAAGGAACGATGATTTGGTCAAAGGCAAATAAGGAAAGTCATGGTGGGCATGCAGTAAGAACGACACCTTACACTGCCTTGAAGGGCTTTGCCAACTTACACAAGGTTCATCAGGGTCATCATTATACCCAAGCTTCAGAGTTGTGGTTTGACAAGAAGGCAGAAAGGGGGTTGGCCAACTCATTTCCAAGATGACCCCACTGAGCACATGGGGAACATACTGTTAGTCGACGCCTGTCCTTCTAGGACAGATCAATAATTCCTGGCTCACTGCGTGGGAGGACACAGAGAAGCCAGCGCCACAGATACCAGCCAACCCCTTGGTAAGAGCACAGCGTGGAGGTGGTGGTGGTGGTGGTGGGGGGAGGCCAGCATTTTCCACCTGCGTACTGCTCCCTGGTGCTCAGAGCACCTCCATCCACCTAAGCCGCACAGCGACCCTGGAGGTGGGCAGGAGAGAGTCAAACTATCTTATTTCACAGATGAGCCAACAGAGGCGGCAGTGGTTGTCCACAGTTTCATGCCAGGAGGCGCTTGCCAAGAGTCTAGGGTGCAAACTAGGCTGAAGGGTTCAGCCAGGAGACCTTTAAAAATGACATCACCAATGAAAGCAACACATGTGCATTTAAGTCGATCGTTACACTTGACTATGGACCAAAATGGTAGTCTCCACTCAGGACAGCACGGTGGCTGTCTTGTCTATCTAGTAGGAAAGCAATGCAAAGAGCCCTCAATGAACAGGCTGACATTTCAACCAGGTATAGAATCTCTCAGCCACAATGCCACATAAGCGGTGGAAGCAAGGAAAAGGGAGGGGCTTCAACTTCCTTTATAACATCTAAGTCCCCTTTAGTGTTGTCCGGTTGTCTGCCTTATTCTCTGTCGTGCCGCCCCCGGATGGCACATCTAACAGCAAGAGCCCTGAGTTCACTGTGGGTAAGCTGGTGAAGCCAGCATCCTTCCTCGGATAAGGACACATCTCTTTCCTTTGGAGAGCTGCCTCGTCCTACCTCACAGGGTTGGGGGCACTGGCCCCTTCCTTCTCCTGCCCTCAGTGGCAGGTGAGTCACCCAGAACCAGGCCCGCCCAGGCTTTCCTCTCATCCTGGGCTGGGTGGCCCCTCCCCGGACCTGTTGGAGGCCACTTCCCATCCCCATTACCTAGAGGGGCCCCCAAAGACAAGAGAACACTGTCTCTGCTCAGTTCTGGAACCTAAGACATGTCATTTTAGGTTAAAGCTAGATTGAGGTGGGGCTCTGTATCACTTGCGGCCGGAAGTGCTCTGGCCAATGCCGTGACAAACAGCACGGTTGAGTAGGCTCACTGACAGGAGGCCAGGATTTGAGTCCTGTTTCTGTCACCAGCAAGCTGGTTCACTGAGTAAGCCACATCCTCTTGCAGGGCTCTCCGGCTTCAATCAAGGAGAGACGTGACGGCTACAGTCCATGGGTGTGGCCAGACCCCGATGCTCCCTGAAAACCAGCTTCCATGCTAGGAGGTCCTCTGAAAAGCAAGCTGGCTCACAGCTCATCCCGAGGGCCAGAGCAGTGGCAGGGAGGCTGGGTTGGGCCCCGGGCCCCCCTCTACATAGTAGCATGCTTCCAATTACTTGCAGACTGTGGGGCTCCCAGCTCTGTTCCTCCAACCTGGACTCTCCTGCTGTCGACGCCAATGCTCCTGGGAGCCATTCCTTCTAGTCTGGGACAGAGCCACGACCAACTTACCCTGTCTACATGGCACCAGCCTAACAGCCTCGCAACCTGCCCCTCCCCTAAGCTTCCGAACGCAGCGCCCACCACGGCTGAATGAATGGTCCACAAGTCATGTTACCTCTACCTGCTGAGGGCACTGAGAAGCACCCCTTTCTATCCAGATCTCCATCCCCGCTCTTTAGCACCTGTTCCTGGCCATGTGAATGGCACACCGTATCACCACTATGTCCAGAGCTAGGAGCCTGTTACTTCCTAAAATCTTCTCATCCCAGCAATACCATTTCTCTGTAAACCAAACACCAACAGCTCCGCAGCTCTGCCCACTGCCAGAGCCCTCATCACGCTGAGCTGAGGGCCTTGGTCCCTCCCTGTCATACCTACCCCCCCACCGCCTCCTCACTGTTCTGTTCTCAGGCCACATGCTGGACTCCCACCTCCAGAGCCTTTGTCTTAACCGTCTACCTATAGTCCAGAACTGGCCTGATTGACATCCTGTTGTTGGTCCCCATGGCAAGGGTGGGCATGTCATATCTTATCCAAAGCAAGGCACTGAGAGTCCAAGGAGGTTATCATTAATAATGACCCTGCCCCAGGGGGTCAACCAGGGCCAGTCTGGGAAAAACAGATCACGTGGACATCCTACTTATATGGTAATTACCAAACTAAAAAACCAAACCCATGGCCATGGAGTCCATGCTGACTCGCAGTGCCTGTAACAGGGCAGGGTAGAACTGCCCCAGTGGGATTCTGAGACTGTAACTCTTTACTGGATTAGAAAGCCCCATCTTTCTCCCATAGCGACCTGGTAGTTTTGAACTACTGATCTTGCATATCATAGTCTAACTCATAACCACCAGTCTGCCAAGGTTCCTATGGTTACTACAGTGCTTGCTAAAATGTAGAATTCCAAGTGCTTCCCCAAAGGTGGACTGATGATCCTGGGGGGCAGGGGTGAGGGATAAGAATCTGCATTTGAATCAAGCCTGTGCAGTGATTCCCCTGCAGGCCAACAGATGCCCATACAGCCCCTCTCTGACTTCTAGGGACAATGGGTTTCTAAAGCTGTGATCTTGATGGAAACAGACTATCTCCTCTTTTCTCCACAGAGGGCCTCATGGATTTGAACCAGTGACCTTTTAGTTTACAGTTGGGAGCACTTCCCCACAGTGGGGTCCAGTGCAACATTCCTTAGGAGGCCTAGCCCAGCTGAGCCTGCCTCCATGTGGACCTTTCCTGACCAGTTTCTCAGAAAGCCCATCCCATTTTGCCCCTGCTAATGTCAGCTCTGTCTTCACCACTCTTGTCCAATGCTAGCTGCCCAGGAGGAGGTCTTTGCTTATTGCCCCTCCCCTCCCCACCAGGGAAGCATTCCAGTGCCGAACCTCTGTGAACTCCCAGTACAGTGGATTACAACTGAGGGCGTGGAGCTTTGGAAAAAATACTAACTTCTGGGCCTCACCCAAAGCCTTGAATCGCATGCCTTAGGAGTGGGGCCTGGCCAGCTGGAGTTCATCCGGAGCTTCCCAGAAGCCTCAGATGCACGCCCCAGCCCCAGCCCTGCCACTTGGGCCTGTCTATAGCCTAGCTTTTAGTCCATTGGTTGAAACTGTTGAACAGCGAGTCAAGAGTGCCAAAGTTGCCTTGCATTGTCCCATCCTCGCTGTCTGCAAGCCGTCCCAAACCTGGCCTGATGCCTGCTGTAACTCAGCTGTGATGGGCTGCTTGCCTAATGAAGGTCTCAGCATCCATTGCAATGCAGGCAGACCCAACATCTCAAAGCCACACGACAGGATTGCAACAGCTTCTTGCCTAACTGCAGGCTAGTTGTTGTCCAAGTCTTCCCCAAGATGTGGGAAAACTGGATATTCCGGGCTGGGGGCAGGGGGGGGGGGTCAGCCACCCCTCGTGGGCCCTCCAGTTGGGTGCTATCGGCCTCTGCTTCTCCCAGACCACTCAGGAAACAAGTACGCCCCTTCTTTCAACGTCTGAAAACCCGAAGCACTAGGAGTTTGCCAACCCAATTTTCCAAGTGAGGCGACCTTGGTTCCCACGCCCTCGGGTTGCACCCCACCAGCCACCACTCAGAACCCTGATACAGGGCAGGCAGTGGGATTTCTGTCTAGAAACCACAAGGGGAAAAGATGCGGCTGGGAGCGGAAAGCCAGCTGGGGCGAACTTCCTCCCCCAGGATTGGCTGCTGCAGGCGGGGCGGCGAGGTGGTCTGGATGGTTTTGACAGCTCCCAAGGCCCTGGGGGCTGGGAGCGTCCCGGGTCACCAGACGGAAGTGGGGAGGGGGGGGCAATGCTGAGAGACGCCCGGAGAAGTCTGAGGGGGTGGGGCCCAGACGGTAGGCTTCAGGGGACCTGGGGAGGGAGGAAGCCCTAAGGAGGGGTTCGCATTGGAGGGGGGTCCGGCGAGGGCCCAGAGGGGGGAAGGCTGAAGGAGGTTTCAGGAGATCCAGGCAGGGCCGGGGCCGGGCCG